CAACCAATCCGGAATTGGTAAATAGACTAAAGGATGCAGTACACTGACCTTCCAAGAATCTGGCTTCGCCGGTTGTGTAGTGTCGGCAAGTGGCTTCTTCTGTAGTTCTTGGTTGCGCATATCTACCACAGGCTGCTCTTTTTGCTCGCGTTGTAACTTGCGAGACTGGAGAGAAAAATTATGGATAGGATCAACTATATACACTGAGTGACTTACGCGAAGAGTTGTGCGCAACTGCTCCTTAATTTTCAAGTCACAAGCTTGAAATGCTAGTGTGAATTCCTCCGTGATTTTCGAGATTTCATCGAAAGTCAGGTTGGGTGAGAAGATGTGGTACCACTCTCCGTTTGGTGACTGGATATCCGAGGAATTCCATTTGGCGGCGATGTATAAACTGGCCGCCGCAATAGCCTCCGCGGAATGTCGAAGTATTAATGTGGTCAGGTGAAGTATGTTGGTACAAATGTAATAGCTTGTGTGAGAGATTTCCTTGGGGAATTTGTTTGCACGTATTGCATTTATTAGCAACACATGGGGCTGTTTAACCTCCAGTGTTTGAAACCCAATCACCATAAGGATGGTGGCCTCAAGTGCGTGGATATTCTGCACTAGCCGCTTGAATGTGTCTGAGGCTTCGTTGGGTACAGGGCGCTTCAATATCTCATAAGTGGCCTTGATAAGAAATGCTAGTTTCCGGGAGAAGTCCTCGGTTTTGCAAGCACAGTAGAAAGCAGCAATCGCGACCAAAATCGGCTTGATGGTTTCCGGGGAAAACACCTCGTAAAAATGATGCATGTAATAAATGCCAGCATTGATCACCACCTGAGTACTGAAACGAGTTGGGACAGAGAAAACAAATTAGAGGAAGCACAAATTTATGGAACGGATACAATACAGAAGGCAAAAACAAATCGAGAAAGCTTTCAGGAAATAGTTGACCGTTCTTAACTCTTTAATTTCGAAATACAGCGGACTGTAAGGATGATGGGAAGCTGGAATGTAGCAAAACGAATCTAGACAAGTCGACCGGGTGAAACCGACTTGATTCATCCAAGTCAGTCATGAAATCCTATAGTGTTGTGCAGTTAACTTATACGTTACCCACAGGCTAACTACCTTATCTATACTGCCTGATCCCGTCACGAAGAGACTGGACCTTA